GGTTTTAGGGTTTAGGGTTGAGGTTATGTAGGGTCTTGTGGTGTGTTATAGGCGTTTTGTTACGGTTTTGCAGTTTTGCTGTAGTGATGTTTTTGGTTTGGTAGCGTTTACTTTCGGCTCATCTTCACCTCGGTTTATGTGTCAGGGTGTCGATGGTCCCATCAAAGGGGGTTCTGGAGCCCTAAACCCTAAACCCTAAACAGGGGTCCTTTGACAAAGGTAACGATTCAGGGTTTTCCAGGGCACAGGGTTCAGACTTGAGGTTTTGGTGCTGTGTTTCAGGTTTTCGGGTCTATCGTTCGTTTAGGGTTTCGGGTTTACGGTTTAGGGTTTCGTTGTTCTGAAAGGTTTGAGGGTTCAGGATTTAGCTGCGAGATTTTGGGGCTTTCGGATTAGGGCTGCGCAGGAGGAGCCGGATTATCAACAATGTATCCTACCAGGCCTACCACAGCTAGGTCGGGATCATGTGGATCTCGTCACCCCAAGCTCAAAGCCATGTCGTGTGATAACTCTTCCAGTCTTCGTTGGCTGCAGTTGGAGGTTCAAGGATCGATGTGCTTCAGGTCTGGCGATTCGGTTTGTGCACTACTCCCCGTCCCCACCTTCGTCAGTCATTCGCCCGGATTTGTTCCCGAAGCTGCAACTTTCGGCAGCTCAATTCCCAAGGTGGAATGTGCAGTTCATGTTGCGGCATCAAACCCGAAACTCTGAACCTACTAAACGTTGAACTCTACACCCCGGCCCGAGCCTGAAGACCTTAAATTGCACTTTCAGTTTTCTGGATGTGCTTGCAGCCAGCAGGAACCCCGCTACCGAGAGTCACAGGCCATTCCGACATGGCATTCGGAAGATGGAGAGGTTCGGTAACTCAGGGTCAGATTCAAGTCAGTACTATTCGTATACTTGGAGCCTCTGGGTGTTTTAGGGTCCTCACCCTCAGAGATATGGTTTTCCAAAAAAGGGGACGCGACTGCAGAAAGTCCTCCATGTACATATAATAGATTATGAGGGCAACTTGGTATGCATGAAGATCTTTGCATGGTGTACCGTAGGTATGTAGTGCTCAGAAGATCAAGACAGCCTTTAAGTTTCAGGGCGCGCAATGGTTTACCACTTAACAACTAGGCAAGGCAGGTTTCGGTCCAGGTGTGCTTCCTGTCAAGCAGAAGTTGAACATCTAATCTCCAGAGCCTTTAACTTAGAAGTGGAGTAGATAACCTTTACCCTCTTTGGGGTGTCATAGTCCAACAATAGTCCCAAAAGTTAACGTCTAGTTTCCCTAGGATGCTGAACCCAAACAGTAGCGAACACTCAATCACTCACTCGACACCCCAGAATATGCTGGGACGGCATCCGTCAAAACCACAAACTGCCATCACGATTACTGCCATACGAAGCACCCTGATATTCATGATGCTACTAGGAATAATACAAACAATGGCAAGAAGAAGAGTAAGCTTAGTGGTAGTTAGCACAAGACTAGTCATAGTAACAACAAAAACAACACTAAATCCTGATAACACTGCACGAATGATCTGCATGAACAACAGCCACAAAAAGCCAGCAACAAGAAATGAACATAAGTTAAGATTTGAATCACAACAATAACAATGAATCAGCGACAATAACAATGCTTCTTCTAGCGCTGTCAGTTTTGGAAAATGAAATGTGACCAAAATCAGAGCTTAGCAGGGCTCGCCTCACTGGTGACGTGGGCTAGTCCTGGAGCCTCTCGGCTGCGATAGCCGCGGTTCAGGGCCGGGCAAGGTTTAGATGAATGTAGAGTTCTGAGTTTAGTGCAGTTTAGGGGTTAGGGGCTTGCTTTGCATTGAGGGTCTAAGGGTTTCTATAAACAAAAACCGTGAACCTTGTTTTGCGTTGGGCCCTCTGAGGACCATCGCAGAATCTTAAGACAGAGACACAACTTGGAGCCCGAACCTAAAGACCCCGAAGAAACAAGCACGCGAAGCCCTGGAATCTCAGGAAACACCGAACCCGCAGACCTCAATTTAGTAATGATTAGCATTCCCCAGAGTCCTTAAGGATACTGAAAGTATACCGAAACCCTGAAGCCCTACACCCTAAACCCCAAGACGAAACCATGGCCTTGGCTTCAGTTTACGGGCTGACAGGGGCGGCAGGGGCGAACCACGAGATTGTATAAACAACCCAATAGGGCTTAGTGCTTAGGGTTTAGGAGGACCCATCCCCTAAACTTATCAAGACGCTGAAGTTGCCAAATCCCTCTACCTCAGCACCCACCCCAAAAGCACCCAAAGCCTAAATACAACCTGTTTCGAAGACCCGGAAACCCTACAAAACCCAATGAAATCAGATCTTACCATATTAAGTCACTGTTCGAAGCCCTGCCAAATGTACGGTGTACCTTCCGTCATTAAGTGGTATGATCCGCTACAAAACCATGGCAAGAACAGACCTCTTAAGCACCAAACATACACCTATGAAGTCATGCAAACCCTATACCCTAAACCACCTAAACCCTAAACCCCCTAAACCCTAAATCCCCTAAACCCTAAACCCCCCAAAACCCTAAACTCTACATTCCTTAGTCAAGGGAGGCTTTCTTAAGCTCTGGTAAGTCAAGGCCCTTCGGCTCTTCCTCGCTTCCTCACGGGCTCCGGGGCCGGGACGAGTGCCAGGCAAATTGCGTGTTTCAGAGGAGGGTTTAGGGTTTAGGTAGGTTTAGGGTTTAGGGTTTAGGCTTTAGGGTTTAGGTCTTATGTTTCAGAGGAGGCTTTTAGTTAATGTAGGCATAGTGTAGGGTTTAGGGTTTAGGTCTTATGTTTCAGAGGAGGCTTTTCGTTAATGTAGGGGCCTTAATAATTACCTATACTATTTGGGGGTTCCTTATTATTATTACAATATAATATACAAAGAGGCTTAGAGCTAAGGGCTTAAAGCATACTATAAGGGCCTTAATAATTAGAATAGGTTTTTGGGGTATAGTATACTATAGTTCTAATGAGAAACCCCCACAACCCTATTGTAATTGTTAAGGCCCCTGCAGTATAGGGTTTAGAGATTAGGGTTTAGGATTTCGGGTCAGGGTTAGGGTTTTTGAGACCACAGAAGCACACGAGCACAAGCTTTGGAAACTACCCCGTTTTGGCGAGACTACCTTAGCAAGTTCATGTTTAGTTGTTTTTTGTGAGAGGTTTTATTCGGGGCTCGATTTAGGGTTTGCAGTTACGATTAGTTGTTCGCGTTGTTAGGCCTTTGGGGCATGGGTTTAGTATTTAGGCTTCAGGGTTCTAGGAAGCTTCAAGGCTTTCCTGGAGGAGTTGAGAGGAGTCTCCTGGGAGTTTCCAGAAATAGGGGACCCTACTATAGTACCCTAAAGAATAGGATTCTTATTATAAGGACCCCGAAATAAGGTACCCTAATTGTCGGAAGCTTCCGAGTCGGGCTAAGTTCCAGTCGGCACCTTGGCTCGCTGAATCAAAACGTCCATACCCCTTGGCCCTTTGGTTCGCTGGGGAGCAGGTTCTAATGTAGGGGCCTGAATAGTTACCTATACTATTTTCGGGGGGGTCCTCATCATAAGTATAGTATAAAGGCCCAGAAAACCCTATTCTAATCATTAAGGCCTCTATATTATAATCATGCGTCGCCTGTATCGCGCTGTAACTTCAGGGCTTTCGTGAGCGCTTCTGTGACCGCCCACGAAGCAGTAATATAGGGGCCTTAATAAATACCTATACTCTTTTGGGAACTCCTTGCTATAATTATAGCATACTCGACCCCAAACCCTATTCTAATTATTAAGGCCCCTATATTATGTACTAGTAGCATCTGTTTAGATACAGCATCCGCAGCTGGAAGGTCCACAAGGCCCACAAGCTTAAAGCCAGTATGACGTTCCGTTGAAGAAGCTTCGAGCACCCTCAAACTCGAGCATGCTGGCCGTCCTGCTCGCGCTGTCGTGCGCGCTTCCCTTCGTGGTTGCTGCCGTGGCTGGCCTCTACGTGGTCTATGCTGTCTTGATGAAGCCGGTGGCCTGCCGGCAATTTGCCTGACATAAAGCAGGGTGTAGGTGAAAGGCTGCAATCCTAAGCCCTAAACCGTACGCCTCAGGGCTCCTTCGGTCGCTAGGAATCTTTGCGCAGTTCGGGATATTGTTATGGAGAAACACTATGCTGGCAACTTGGGATGATTGTTCATGACTGCTCCATGTAATTAGTCGTAATTGTAGACTCATCTGATCATGTTCGCTCTTGCGGGAGACCCCTGCAACCCCCGACAACCCACCATGTTTCATAGATCGTGTGCCACCTAATCCTTGTAGAGGCAGCACAGAATCAAGCGTCGGTGTGGATAGAGGACCTAAACCCTGAACCCTCGGGCCTAAACTGGAACTGGCTCGCTGATTAGGAATGTGGCCGGATTTTGGTGGTTTTAAGTGTCTTGTGTTTGAAGGGACAAGGCTCAGTGTTGGCGAAGAGCTTCTAGATTTTAATTTTGCGGGTTAACACACAACAGAGTGTGGTGCTAGGATTTAGGGTTCGGGGTTCGGATATCGGGCATGGCCAACTTTAATCATTAATTTAGTGTTCGGCCGACACCCCGAACTACAGCTTCACGAGCCCAGCAGTTCTAAACCCGAAACCTACACCCTAGCCGAAAAGTGTTCAACTTTGTTTTGTAACAACATGATGCGAGTTGATGAATTTGGCACGCTCTGTCTCTCTCTCTCTCTCTCTCGCTCTCTCTCTCTCTCTGTCTCTCTCTCTCTCTCTCTATATATATATATATTATATACATGGTCAACCAGGTTTCTGTTTTCCATCGAACACGCTTGACTGTTTGTAAGCGATTCCACAAACCTAAGCTACAAGTCGTCGCTGCAAAGACCGAACCCCAAGAACACTGAAAAACCTCCCAAACCCCGTGAAATCCCCAAACCCTCCACCCCAACCCAGGCCAAACACCGCTTCCCCCCGGCCAGCGACGTGTCTTCAGCTGCTCGTTCGAAGGCAACCTCGGTCTGAACAAGTTGTAACCGTCTCCCCGCACAGTTCCCTAGACAATTCTATTTCGTCACATACTCCAAAACCCGATCCCAGATGTTAAGGGTCATGATGCCAAGAGGGGGTTTTGAAGACCCCTCGTTTGTTTAAACACCCTCTTCTGTTAAGGGGGCCGGGCGCGGGATTTTGGACTTTAAGACATACCCTGGCTTTAGTCAGAAAACAAAAGTTTCTGGTGCTTCAAGGCGATGTTTTACCGGCACCGGGTGTTTACCATAAGATCAGTTGGTTAGGATGAAATCTGTACAGTAGGCCCCGCGCCCGGCATAGTTGTGTTGGGTAAGTCTTAAGTGCCGAGTCATCCTGTCGGAGAAATGTGCCATACGCTCATGACTCATGGTCGTCTTAAATATTCGGCCGCATTTGAAGAATTGCAATACCAAAGCAACAGGAAGGCCTTCTCGGAGCAGAACCTGTGGGAAGACTGTAGGGACGCAGAGTAAGGTGGAAAACACAAGAAATTCAGTGACTTTGCAGACACAGGAACAAGGGGGGGCGTCTTGAATCCTGCGCACGCCATGGCAAACCCTGCACCCTAAACCGGCCCTAAACCTTAACCCTAAACGTGGCAAGATAGTAGTTTGTGGCTTCCAAACCATGAGTCGGTATATCTCTCGGGCGAAAGTATTCGACCCTATGGTCATCCCAATCAAGAGCCTTCAATAACTCAGAATGCTGTGTGAAGTTTGTAGGATTTCAGGTTTAGGGCGCAGGGCTTATGATTCTGCAGGGTCGCAGTGCTTTCCTGTTGGAACCTTCACACATCCTTGATTATATGAAACTTTTTTCAAATTTTAGAGCCATGGGGCTTAGTGCTTGGGGAAGGGGCTTAACGGCTCGGGAGTAGGTCAGAGGGAGATGTTGCTTACCCAGCGGTTCCACGTGGCCATATAGAGCCCCTGAAAGCTATGCCCGAGTCCCCTAAACCCTAAACCCTAAACCGGGCCCAAGCCCGTGAACCTCGAACATCCGGCGAACCCGAACGTCTCAACTCGATGCCCTGAGCCCGCCAGCGCTGGTTCCTTATTTCTTGCGTGCCTTACGGTTGATGATATAAGTCCTGCATTACCTTCAGGACCCTAAGCTATGGGGATTATGGTATATTCCTGAGTATGGGTAGTGCAGGATTTATATCATCCAACCGTAGTTAGCAGGTGGTGATCTGCGTTGGAGATTCCCTTACCCAGGCCTGCTGGCAGCTGAGATTCCGAGATTCTACGTTGATATAGGGGGCCTAAACAGATTACCAATACTATTTCGGGGGTCCATGATTAACTCTAGCATAATCTATCCCCACAACCTATTCAGATTCTAAAAAACCCCAATATTATCCAATCTCAAGACCATTTCCTGCTTTGGCTAGCCGGATCTAGGGCCATTGTAGAGTTAGGACCCTGTAATTTCTATAGAAGCCTAAATAGTTACCAATATTACTGTCAAGGTTCCTTATTATGAATATACTACAAAGGAGCCCAAAACCCTACGGTCCCTGCAGTCACAACTACTATGGTAAGGCGTTTCAGTGGTTTAGGGTTGACTGGCTCCTGGCCTTTGGGGTTTCGGTGTGCAAGCTTTAGGATCGGGGGGTTCCTTGGCTAAGAAGTTCTCGGCTTCTACGGTTTTGGGGGTTTAGGGCTTAGGGTTTTTTGTAGTTTGAGTCGGCAAGGCTTTCGGTTCGATGGCCTTTATCTGAAGCTATGAAGTCAAAGCTATCAGAAGCTAAGCTCTGGAGCCCATCATCCTGAATCCTGAATTCCAAACCTACGAAGAGGGCTTTGGGTTTAAGGTTTACAGTCCTTAGGGTTTAGGGTTCAGGGTTTGGGGTTCAGGTTTATGTGCTTCCTAATAAGAATGGCATTTCATGGCCTACATTGCTTAATGGCAGGACATCCGTATCATCAGCTACCTGCACCCTCATCTGGAAAGCTACTCTTGGCTGCTTTAAGTACTCTGACCATGGGATCCTAACCCTAGAAACCATGCCAAAGAAAGGCAAAAAAGGACTTATTCATTTCGAGCATTATTCCTTAGGGTTCCTCCAGGTTTCAGACTATAACATACTATAACTATAGCACATAAAACTCGAAACCCGGAGGCCACAGTCTCGGGTGACTGGCTGGGAATCTTACGCGCTCGATTTCCCGAGCTGTCATTCCTCAACGCTGGCGTCAACGGAGACTGTGCCTACAACGTGGCCGTGAAGGCACCGGAAAAGTTTAGCGCTGAACCCTAAATGCTGAACTCAAAACCCTCAACGCTAAACTCGAATACTATTCATCCCTAATCACTACACCCTAACCGTCCTAACCCAAGCCCCTAAACCCTAACCGTGACAAATATGGGTTTCGGAGAGCTTGGCTTGCGGCTTTCCGGGTGTCTCGGGCTTGGTGGATGAGGGTGAGAGGTGGTGTCACGTAAACCAAGTGGGCCTGTCGTCAAGTTAACCAACTAGCAAGGAGTACTATATTAGTTGAGGATGGTAGGTAGCCAAGGGCGTCCGAGTATACTACAGTTATGGCTTTTTAGTGGAAAGACCATACCGTGCCGTACCCATGATGGCTCTTTGGGGGGTGTGGGGGTGTTCCATAATGGTAGTACGTATGGACCCTCTGAGAAAAACAGGTTTGGATCTAGATGTTCGGGAGTTGGCTGTACTTGAAGTCCCTGGCTGATTAGAAATGCTTCCCCGATGGCGGCCTGAGCAGGCAGGGTCTGGGGTGTGTGCCGCCACATGGTCCAGGAGTCTAGGACCTTAAACCCTAAGCTCTAGGATTTATAAGGGTCAGGGACACTGGCCCCTGGTCGAAGTCACTTCGAAGAGAAAATCCACAGGTACAAGCGCTAGGTTTCAGGTCAAACTTGAGGCTTAAAGCTAGCCACAGAGTCGGCACGCTGGGTGAACTCAAGAATCCTGAACAAGGATCAGGCCCTGATTGAAGTTTAACGTAGGGGCCTTAATGATGAGAGTAGGGTTTTGGGGCCCGTTATACTATAATCCTAATAAGGCCTACATTAGGGTCTGGGACCAGTGATCCCATGGGACTGTCTGGCGCTCGAAAGCCACCAGGTGAGGTTGCATCCGCCTCAGACCGAAGGCTCCAGACCATGAAATCCGGGCTGGTGGTATTAAGCCCTCCTTAAAAACTAGGAAGCCTAATTTCTGAACCCGTACAATAAAAGGTCGCTGAACCTTGGTTTATGCGAATGCCCCAACTTTGGATGTTCACTTGCCACCCAAATCCTCCCGCAATCCAGGCCAGGGCAATCCGTGAGTGTCGGCCAGCCGCCGTCGTGGTCCTCGTAGGGACCAACGATGCCAAAGCCGGGGCTCAGGGCTTTAGCTTTGGGGTTGACTTTGGAGTTTTGGTTCAGATTTCACTGGGTTTTTGAAAGCTTGGGGTATTGAACTCCTACCGCAACAGGCGCAACACTGCTCCAGAATATGAATCGTCAGCAGTGGTTTTGCGTCTCCTGCAGTTCTAAATCAAGCGTGAACTTCGGGGTATTCTATAGTCCCGACGGCTACGCAAGAGTTAAAGCCGCTCTGTCGTCGTGCGTAACCTTCGTCTCGAGGGTTCCAAAGGCTCCTTGTTATGCGTGCTTTTCGGCCACTAAGTATAACATAAGGGCCTTAATAATTACCTATACTGTTTGTTTTTGGAGGGGAGGGGTTCTGATTATTATAACTGTGGCATAATATGCCCCAACACCCTATTCTAATTATTAAGGCCTCTACATTACCAAGCATAAGCTTCTGCGCCTGATGACATTGCAAAATTCAAATTAGGACGAACCGATCATACATTCCAGAGGCGAAAGATTTCGGAGTTCCTCTCGTAATCCTCGTTTTAAAGTGGTAATGGTGAGACCTCAGCGTGTCAGTACTACCATCATCATAGCCCTGCAAGAACCATGATTTTGATTCATCAGCAATTAAGCCTCATGGTGGCACTAGAAGAGAAGATGTCAGAAGCACCCAGCACCCCAAACGCCAGGCCGAATTGAACGGGAGCTGGGGGAAGCACAGCCGGCTCTACAACGGCTTGCCTCAGGAACTGGCGGGGGTGTAGAGTCGAAAAGGCAGGCCTGAGAGTTCAATGGGGTAGGGTTTGCTGAAGTTTCGTGTCTAGGCGGCCCCATCATGTGTAGGGCGAAAATAAGGGCCTGAGCCATAAATTAGAATAAGGCTTGAAAGAAGTCGTAATAGAACCTACGTGGTTTGTCCTTCCTGAAACTTACAATGTTGTCGAGAGAGCTCTGAACACCACACCCCCAAAGCTCTTAGCCCCGAACCTCCCAAACCAGAGAAGCGCCAGTGATATGTTTATTCAAAGACACTAGTATCAATCAGCGTAAACAGTAACCAGATGAAGCACAAACAACGGTTGAAGAGTAAGATGAAACACAACAAAGGTGCGACCATGTAAAGCCCTAAAACCTAAACTCCTAAACTCCTAAGCCCCAAACCCCGAAGCCAACAAATCCTAAAGTGCAGGAGCCAAGCTACGACTTTTTCCGCTCCTCGCTGGGATCAGCGCTCGAAATCCTTCTCGGCCTTGATCCTGTCGAGCGCCCCCTGGCTTTTTGTAAGGGTTCATTTAAGAGCTTCGAACTTCAAGGGTTCATTCAAGGGCTTTGGGTGTTAAAGGGTTCCCTTTTGAAGGGTTCCGTTTAATATTGGCGCCTCAAAAATTACCAATGTGGGTTCCTAATTATAAATATAGTATAACTTATAACAGTACCCCCAAGCCCTATTCTAGTTATTAAGGCCCCTATGTTTTGGTGAGGGTTTGGAGAGGAAGTCATGAGGTTTTTAGGATGTCGCGTTGCGGGTTTAGGGTTTTGGTTTGTCGGGTTTGGGTTTTTGGCGGGTTTAAGGTGTAGGGGTTAATGGTTCAACTGTTTCGTGGTGGTGTTTTCTTTGATCGGGTGTTTCTGATTGAAGCTTTGATATTATGGCATTGGCTTCTCATTGCGGCGTGTGCCGCTTCTTGCTGATTAAGCAACACACCGTAGCTCTTGAATTACCGTTACAGTTTTGGGGTTTAGGGGTTTATAGGGTTTTGGGGTTCAGGGTTTAGGGCTTTAGGGGTTTTTAGGGTCAGCTAAGGCTTGAGGTTCAAGTTGCCAGAACCCAGGACCTTGTCTGGCGGTGCTCACGCTGCCCATGCTCGGGGAGACTCCGGATCACATCGGGAACAGGGAAGTAGCATCTGGGCTCAAGCACTTTGGGGATTCTATTTTGTTATGTTAATAGGGCCTAACCCCTTAAACCCCGAAACCCAAGGCCCCTAAACCCCCAAACCCCTAAACCCTGAACCCCGAAACCGGCGGGCAGGCCGGGATAGGTTTTGGTTGGGTTGGGTGGGCCGTGGTGATTTGAGGATAGTTTAGTGTTTAGGGGTTTACGGTTTTACGATTTATGGGTTTAGGGTTTAGGGATTTAGGGTTTAGGGGTTTAGGGTTTATAAGGGTCTGTTTTGAGGATCCGGTGTCATAACAACCAGCGGCCCACATGAACTTCTCTATCTGTTTCGTGTTCGATAAGGGAGGACTTCCGTCTGTTTATGCGGTGTTGCAGGGCCCTACTTCTCGAACGGTGCCCGCATTCGAGGAATCTGAGAGAATAGGAGTCGGATAAATTATGCTTTCAACCCCAACTCCAGTTCGTAAGGGGTCCCATGTTTTGAAGTCTTGTAGTTCGTTCTCCTTCACTCAGCCTAAGTGGCGGATGGGATCCGAGTGCCTCAACCCTAGATGCTGAACCCAAACCCCTAATGTAAGAACCTGATTAAGAAACCCTGGCCATATAGCCCCAAAATAGTAGGATTCATATAAAGAACCCTAATAAAGACCCAGGGTTTCTTAATCAGGTTCCTACATTAAGCGCCCAAACACTTGCGCGGCAGGTGTCGCGATACAACCAAGCTCTGAAAGATGTGGCTGCCGATGCCGGCAAGGCTGGCGGTGACCTGGAGGTCCTGGATCTCAACAGGGCCCTGTGGCTACGGGTGAAGGCCGATCTGGCCAAAAAGGGGACCTTAAGGAAGGGAATTCGGCTGTAAAGTTATACAGGGTTTTTGTTCGGGGTGCTATAAAGGTTTCGGGTCGTGTGTGAACATAAATGCTTGAAACGGTCCAAGAGGCCTATCCGTCGCGCATGGAACGCCTGGCCTGCAAGCTCCACCCACCCTCTTTGCTAATCTTGACTAAGCTCAAGTTGTCAAAGTAACGCTACAAAGAGGTGATGAGGTGACATATGCGAAACCCCATTCTTGTCTTGCTTGTGTAGTCTACACGTAGACTCTAAACCCTAATACGCCAGGTTCGAAACTCGAGCCTCGTTTCTCCTCCGAGCAACCCTTATGACCGATGGCGCAAAAGTTGAAACTTTCACTTGAAACCAAATCCCCAAATCCTGAATCCAGATGCCCATACGCTAATATTGAACCCCTAAAACCCTAAAGCCCAGCTAAAACCCTTGCAGCAAGGAGCTGGAATCCACCACTCGTGCCCTGCAGCCACCTCCTGTGGCGAAGTTCATGGGCCTCATGTGGCAGGTGGCGCTTGTTCGCATAATCTAAGGGGCCATAATTATTAGAATAGCGTTTGGGGTATGTCATACTATAAATACAATAAGGAACTCCCACAATACCCTACATTAGGGGTTTTGTATTTCATTGGGGTTTCAGGGTATCGAGGTCGGCTTCGGGATCATAGCCAGAATATGTTGGATTAATGGTCTTGGATTTTGGTCTTGGGGTAACAGGGTCGTGTGGATTAGTCTACTGCGTCTAGCCATGGAGCTCTGCGGCGTCAGGCCCAATCGCGGTAAGGGTTGACAGCCCGAAACCCCAAAGCCGTTTAGAGCCCTTCATGCTAAAACTCTGAACCCCAAAACCCGAAGCCCCGAACCCGTAGACCGCCTTAGCCTGCACAAGTAAGTCGTGGCATGTACCTTATTTGGGTTATTTTTGGGTGTCCTTATACTAAGGATCCTGCTATTTGGGGTACTAGATTAGGTTCCCCCATATTCGGAACCCCCCCCCCCCCCCATTTGTCACCCAGAAGCCCTGCCTTGCTACTTAACCCCCGGCTCCTTCATCACAAGTTTCAGGGTTTCGGGCTTAGGGTTTAGGGTTTCAAAATTCTGAATCCTGATTCCGATCTCTGTGGAGGGTGCTGCTCTTCACTACCTGCTGGGTTGGAGCTGGGATTCTGTGGGCCGGCGACAGGGGCAGACGGTGATGTCTGATGCCTTGCACCTGATCCTAGGCAGGTTTCGGGTATGTTGTGCTTAGGTTTGGGGTTTACGGCTTGCAGTTTCAGGTGCGTGTTTTTTTCTTATGGCTTTTTCAACATGAAATATGCCACAAGGTGCCCAGTAGAGAATGAAGGCGCGCCATGCATCGAACAGGAAAGAGACTCAGGAATGATACTGGGGCAGCCGTCATCGCTCAGCTCGTTGGTGACTGGCTGGTGAAAACAGGCGTGGCTTGAGGAACCCCTCAACCCTAAACCCTCCAGCTTCTACCATCTCTGAGAGCTCAGCTACTACGGGCGGACCGAAGAACGTCACGAGCCTACTATGCGCGGTGATGGCCTCTTGGCGAAAGCCGTGCGTTTTGAAAGTGGATGTTTACATTCACACCTCATAGTGGTATGAATGTCGGTATCCACATGGGTTGGAATCTCCGTTTTCCGGGCTTTGTCCACTAAGGATCCTCTGGTTTGGTTGGGCTCCTGATTTCTCAGACTCCCATGTTCGTAACTTGGAGTCGAGGACCAAGCTTGAAGTTCCCTAACCCAGGCCCTCGGCTGAAGCCCGAGACCCCCAAACCCAGGACCATCCAGAAGCCTAACATAGGGGCCTGAATAATTAGAATAGGGTTTTGGGGGGTCTCTTATAGTATAATTATAAGAAGGAACCCCCAAAATAGTATAGGTAATGATTTGGGCCCTTATATTACTTAAACCGCGAAGCCCCTGAACACCCAAGGGCTGGCGAGAGCTACTCTGACCAGAGCGAGACCTTCAGCCGAACTTCCGCGCGCAAGAATACACATCTGCTCTCGCCAGCATGTCGGAGCCTGCGAAAAGATGGGAGCCAAGTATATACCCTGTGCAGCAGGATCCGCAATATGAGGATCACTAAACTGAGTGTACTTAATGCTTAAGAGATCCCAGTATTGTGCAATAATCAGCTAACCAGGCATCGGATGCTAAAGCAAAACGGTCATGATGATTTAAGCAGATGCAATCCACCGGCTTCATGACTCTAAACCGAAATCCAAGCCCGCCAAACCACAACAACTGGTACCTACCTGAAGCCCAAGGCCTATACTCTTTAGGGTCCCTCGTTTCGATGTCCTGCTACGTAGGTCAGCTTGAAATGGTAGATTTTCTAACGCCTATAAAGCCCACAGAGGCTCTGGTTGCTCGATGGTAATATAGGGGCCCTAAATAGTTACCTATATTATCTTGGGGGCTCCTTATTATATTTATACTATAAAAGGCTCAAAACCCTATTCTAACTATTAAGGCCCCTATCGCAAAGCCACAGAAGTGTCAACCTCTAACAGCCACCATTAAAGCCCCAATATAGGGTCTTAAGCATCGTCTAGAATATAGGCGGTTTATACGGTTTTGTCGGAGATCCTTAGTTAAGAATCAAGTGGAATGAGCAAATTAGGCTTATTATTTATGTCGGGACTATGAGGGAACGCTTTGGCGAAATATTCAGGCCGCCATATTCAAAGCCAACTCTCAGGCCGACAACTTCAGGCTTCTAATCTAGGGGCCTTTATAATTACCGATACTATTTTTTTTGGGGGGGGGTCCTTATTATAAGCATAGTCTTAGTAACATAACCCCAAACCCTATTCTAATTGGCCCCTACATTAGGGTCTACAGGGTAGAGTTTCAGGAACACCTTCGACCGCAACACCTGGGAGGCCCTGAACCCGAGACTCTTCACGCCAAAGCCCAAAAACAGCAACACGTGCTGTCACACAGACATGGGAACAAAACCAGTATATAGTAGAAAACCCTAAATCCTAAAGCCCTGAAGCGCAAAGCCAGGCAACCGCAGCCTGGGTGAGGCAACGCCGACGAAGGTGGGCAAAGCCCCCGATAGTTTGAGGGTTGAGTGCAAAGCTGTGGGTTTAGGGTTCAAGGGTTCAGGTGATAACCATTTCGACTTGTGGCGAGTGGTTCGAGCTTAGGCTTAGGATGTGGGATTCAAGGTTACAAGCTGCGTGGATTTTAGGATCTAAGCTTCAGTGGGTGTTATTCTTCCAACAATAGTACAGGGACCTTAATAACTGCCTATACTATTCTGGGGGTTCCTTATCATAGTTATAGTATGATATACTCCAAAACCCTATTCAAATTATTGACGCCCCTACATTATATGTTTAGCAATGCTTGTTGCACAGCAACTCAAAGGTTTGGCCTTTTTGTCTGGTGTTGTCAGTGGCCACTCGGCACTGACTGGGTGGTACTTTATTTTCTTGTGGCCTTGGATTACGACTCTGGGGTTTAGGGTGTTCATGCCATGAGTTCCCGGTCTTGGGTCCATGATACACCTCATGATGTTCAAGGGCGTCGAACGGCTGTCGATGTGATAAGCAGCAGATGATGCCTGTTTTAAGACTTGGTTGTATGCAGGAGTATCACCTGCGATACTTCCGCATCGCCCAGAGCCAAGCATACTTGCTTTCATTGCGTCAAGCTGGTCCGGCTACGTAGTGCCGCAGCTGGTTGGTTGCAGAATCGGTTCCAGCACGATCTGCAAAATGTTGTGGAATCCACACGCCAACAAGCGCAAAGTCAAAAGCAAAGTTGCGGGGACTTCAAGGTAGCATTCTCTTGACAGTGATTTCGTTTCTTGCCTGGGGCCTGTGCCCTAAACCTTGCCGGGTTTAGGGTTAACCGTCGGCTTCATTGCAGAGATTTGGTTGTGAAGACCGGGCAGTCCCGAGGCACCGAGAACCTTCTGCTGTGCAGATTCATGTGGGAGTTTCCGAAAATAGGGGGTACCTTATTTGGGGGTCCTTATGATAAGGATATTATTATTTGGGGTACTATATTAGGGTCCCCTGTTTTCTGAAACCCCCATTTGATGATCCTCGCTTGTCCTGGACACGCCTAAAGAATCGAAGAAAGCTGGTAAATCCCACAACAAACATTGCAAAGCTTCAGAAAAGCATCGCGAAGGCGATATGTGGGTGCAAGGTTTCTGGGCAACACATATTTGCAACCATCGTGGCAAACCTCGCGGTAAACATGTAAGTAGGTCAGATATCTAAATATGAGGCCTCTTTTGAGAACGACACTCCAAATTCGCAGCCCTAACTCTTATAGAAATTTGTATTATATCATCTTATAGGCTTTTCTATTCCTATAGAGCGCTACAATACAAATCCAAGAGCAACTCAAGCGAGCCCCTGAAACAGACAGGGCAGACCCGATCAGCACTTGGGCAACAGCGGTCTGTTACCCAATGCAACAAGGACCTAGGAGTTTAGGGTTTTAGGGTTTGGGGCTTTAGGGTTCCAATGATAAGACCCCTTCCTTCTTTCTTCGGAGCGACTGGGTCGGTACCAACGCACCCCTAGCACGAGTGAATTCAGGTGAATCGTAAAAGCCTTAGGAGGTGGGTGAACACAGACGACCATGCCAGAGTTGAAAACCCCCTTGGCATAGCCAGCCAGTGATCGCGTCAAGGCATTCGAAAGCCACCGCGGAGGCAGTGAGGCATACCGGGCCAAGGGCAGCCTGCTGCGCAAAGGTGCCTATCACATCACAGGCAGCCTCAAGTCATCGCACGTTGGGGAGTCCAGTCGGGACCAGGAGACAGGCCCAGAAAGGACGAAGGAAAAGGCCAACCCAAGTGAAAGGCAGGCAACAAATCCAAGCAGCGGCCGAAGGAGGCCCGTGAAAGGAGTCGCAGCAGAGCTGTGGGTCGAGCAGCAAGAGGACATTGCTGGCAATAGCATATTATAGTAGTTTATAGTATATTCTAGTAAATCATAGTAAATTATAGTATAGTACAGTATAGTATATTATAGTACATTATAGTACATTGTAGTACATTCCAGGATAGTGTAGTAGATAGATCAGGTACCAACGGCGTAGGGGTGTGCGGCCCAGGCCTGAACGGCATATGCCGAAGATGCAGAACAAGGCGGGCAAGAAACTCCAAAACGGTTTTGGGTTTGCCATAGGGGCCTTAATAATTACCTATAATATTTTGGGGGCTCCTTATTATAATTATAGTATACTATCCCAAAAAAAAACAGCATATTCGAATTATTAAGGCCCCGACAGCAAGCCGGCATGGACCGAGGCGAGGGGAGGAGATGCCCGCGCACCCTGCAGAGCACCCTAGAGCTGAAGAGGGGCCTTCGGGTGAAGAAGGGGGGTCGGCGCACGCGAGGCAGCTTCAAAGGCGCGTTAAGGCACGAAACCTGAAGCAATTGCCCAAACCCTCAAATGCAGCTCCTCGCCGTCTACAAACCCTTAAATCCCCTGGAACCCTTAATTATTGAGGCCCTCTATATTTAACCGTTGAGAAGATGCCAAGGTCGGCCTAATCGGCGAGGGCAGCTTTGGGAGCGTCTACGAGGCTAGGGCGGCGAGAGATGTGCAATGCAGTCAGTCTCAGGGTTCCTGTATAAGTAGGGGATAGGGTTTAGGAGGTTTAGGGGGTTTAGGGGTTTAGGGTTCAGGGGGTTTAGGCGGTTTAGGGTTTAGGGGTTTAGGGTCTTGGGTTTAGGGCTTAGGGAGAAGTTTAGGGTTTGGGGTTTAGGGACCTGGGGCTTTGGGGTTTGGAGGGTGTTTGGGGCGTGGGGGTTGTGGATCTACAGGTATAACAGCATAAGGCTTCAGAATGTGGGGTTTGGGTGTGTCGCTTTGGTGTGCTTCATGGTTCAGTTTAAAGGCGCATGGTTTCGGATGTTCTGTTAAGCGAAAATGAATCGACAGGACGACGTCGGTGCTGAAGAAAGACCACACATCTGCATAGCTTGCAAAAGGCCACTAACTATCAGCATCATAGTTCTACCGAGCAACTAGCACTGTCTCACCAGCAGAGAAAGTTCTCTCAAGCTAGTTGGTTCTTGGTAAACGCTTGATTCGACGCCCTCTCCTCGTGCAAACAAAGCCCCAAACCCCCAAAATTGTCAACCTAGCATTTCACGGTTCAGGTTTCTGAAGGTTCCGGGGCTTTGAGGTGTGGGTTGCAGGGATTGGGAATCGCAGTGTTGAGATCGCTGTTGAATTGGTTGGCCGTTCCAAATTATTATTATTATTATTATTATTAGTATTATTAGTATTATTATTATTATAGTCCAATTTGATGGTCCTTGCTGAGGTGTTGGCTTTGGGCATCTTCTAGGGCAGTCAGAAGCTTTGCTGGGGTTTTTCGGGAAAGAGCGTAGTCTGGTCGCAAAGGCTGCTTCGTACGCCTAGATAATCGGCAGCACTACTCCTTAAGGTTCCTTGTTGTAACTGTCGTTATTAAGGTATATATATAATATACCACCACTACTACCACCCCCCTTTCAAAAAGCAAATCTACCTAATTGTTCAGGCCCCTAGATGACGTCGTAGACTCAAAAGTTGTCGATTAGACCTGCGTCTGCTTTGCAAGGTCTGCGACCTTCGCCCCACTTTGAGCCATATCCTGAGACTGAGATGTCTCCTTTAGGTATAGGGCTTATAGTTGCTGGCTTGTAGGGTTTAGTGTCCTGGGTTTAGGGTGTAGGCCTATTTTAGTCGATTCCAACAGGATTCTTCCTAGCGTTGGTAGACTCAGAGAGTCGTGCGTTATTTATTTGGCCTCCAAGAACAACCTAAGATTGCAGTAAACCATAAGCAGCTGTACACAGGATTCCCGAAACCGGCCTTGCGCAACAAGTCGTTGTACTTTTCAGTCCCGTAACAAATATATTTTATTTAACCTGCCCTTGGAAGAGGCTTTCTGAGCCCTGGAACCGGCAACCTGTGTGATTTTGAACCCGAAGCCCCTGCATCCATAAAACAGCCCCCTTTGAAACCCTTATAAAGAAGCTTATAAGATACTTAGATAGCACCAAAGCAACGCAAAGTTGCATCGCCCAGGTGGGGCAAATCCCCTGGGTCTTGATCGGAGATGCGCCCTGCCGCTAGTGCTGAAACTGAGGGGCGTCTGCAAACATGAGATTTCTGCAGTGTTTTTGTAATGGGTTGGTGTTGCTTCTAGAGTCTAGAGGGCTTTGTGGGTCTTCTTGAGGCTTCATGCCCTTATATCTCGGCCTGTACGCCACCCGAAACCCTGGACCGCCAACTCTTGAGCTTCGAAAACCTTGAGCCTCAAGCTGGAAACCCCTAAACTTGCCCTAAAACCCCTAAATCCCTGAACCCCAAACGCTAAATCCCTGAACCCTAAACCCTAAATCCTAAATCCCTGAACCCTAAACCCTAAAACCCGAACCCTATACCCTAAATCCCTGAACCCTAGCCCCTTAACGACCTGCACCTGCCAGTGAAATCGAGGAAGATCCTCCATCGGCGGCAGTACCTGGCACAGGACAGCAGGGCAAGTAGCGTGGTTTGCCTAAACCCCAAGGGTTTAGGGTTTAGGGTACCTTCATATTCAGGGCGGCTTCTTATGATTTGTGGGACTTTGTCTAAAAGCTGTGTTCTGGCCGGAGGGGGGAGGGTCGAGGTAGAGTCGAGAATTTAGGGCGTTCGGAGTGTTTTGGGTTTGGGCCATCATCTTGAACTGCAGGGTCTTTGTCATCTGTCTTTGAGCCTACAAGCCCCCCTTATACTCTATATGCCTCAGCACCCCGGAAGCCCTCAAACACCCAGAGGGAGTAACAAGAGGCTTCGTGGTTTGACGTAGTTAGAACATGGTTGGATGTACCTTATTGTTGATAACTTAGGGGCTGGGTCATCCTGTTTTGGGCTAGGGTACTCAGCCCCTAGGATAATATTTACATATTCGAGAAACCTCACGAAGAGCATGACAGCGCCGTGCATCGGGAGTTCCGGATTCGTCAAAGCGTTTTCAGGGGGCTTAGGGGTTTAGGGTTCTTTGGCTTAAGGCTTGTCAGGTGTCGGGTTAATGGAAGGATTTGTTGGTTTGCTGAAGGCTGCGGGGGCCGAGAGCGTGGGTTTTAGCTCTTACAGCTTGGGCCTGGGCTTCGGGCTCTGGACCTAGAGCCCGAATCCGCAAAAACCTAGGCCCGAAGCCTTGGGTCACCAAAGCTCCGCTTTGATTCGTAAAGCCCTGAAACGCAGCAGCCCTGAGAAGTTGAGAGGGACGTGAGTGCTGTTCGACACTCATACCCTCACTCACTTACTCGCTGGCTCATTTCAAAACACTTCAGGGCTATACCCGAAACCGCAAGCTTAAGCTATGTGGGTAGTTTTCTAAATTAGGGTCCCTTTTGGTGTCCTTTTTATAAGGTGCCGTACTATATTGGGGACCTAAAAGGGGCCCTAATTTAGAGAACTACCCATGTAGCAACGGGGAGAGGACATGCTGGCCCGTGCGAAGCAGGAACGCCAGGCCAGGGCTGCCCGGAAAGGGCCTAAGGCCTGAGGTTTCTAAGCCCCACTATAAACTCCTCGGTTTAGGTTGTTTTTAATTGTTTAGGGTTTAGGGTTTAGGGTAATGTGTACAAGCCCCAAGGTACTAACCCTGAGGCGCCAGAATGCTGGAGAAAGTCCTATTTATAGGCCTTCGAGGTGTCTTAGAGCAAAGGGCCCAGAATCAAGGCTTCATCTAGGAATTGGGTGCCGCTGTACTCTTCCAGTGGGGTTTCGGGTAACGTAGGGGCCTTCATAATTAGAATAGGGTTTTGGGCTCCTTTATAGTACAATTATAATAAGGAACTCCCAAAACCCTATTCTAATTAGGGCACCGTGTTTGAACCCAATGCTCTCCCCCAAACACAAACCTAAGCCCAACCCAGCTGTCAGAGGCGGGGGAATTCAGAATATTCGGCCAAGAAGGAAGGGGCCCGTAACCCTAAACCCTCAACCCAAAACCCTAAGCCCTAAACCCAAAACCCTAAACCCTAAACCCTAAACCCCTAAGCCCTAAACCTGAGCCTAAACGCCGTTTTGTAGACTTCATAAAGCAGAAACCTGAAGATCAGGACTCCGGACTCCTGGAGCTCCAAAGCTTCAGACCCCTTAAGCAAGGCGCATGAGTAGGGTTTAGGGTTCAGGGATTTAGGGTTTAGGCTTCAGGGATTTAGGATTTAGGGTTCAGGGATTTAGGGTTTAGGGTTCAGGGATTTCTGGTTTTAAGGTTCATGGATTTAGGATTTAGGGGTTTAGGGTTTAGGGTTTAGTGGGTCAAGCTCGATAGTTCAACTGATTCCCCTGTATAGTCCACGCGAGATGGACGAGAGGTTCTGAAGGCTGCGCGCCATCCCTTCATCGTTCGCTTGCTCTGCGCCTTCAGCACCATGGCAGCCCCAAGAGTTGCAAGCAAGTCCTTTAGAGGGTTTGGGGGTTTGAGGTTTAAGGGCGAAGGTCTAGATGTACCCTTGATGCTTTCAAGGTGACGGGCGTCTTAAGAGTATCATTGCCCTCCAGGCCCCTGAACGCCGGTACCCGAAAATCAAACACCTTGGATCTAAGCCTAGGCTTTAAATCTAGTCCTAGTCAGAATACGGCCAGCCCGCTAAATTGAAAATATGGCCGGAATACCCTAACGCCAGGATAGTGGTACTGTACCCCAGTCAGTGATCTTAGACCTCTGCATCTCGTGACGTGTGGGCTCGCTGTTTCTCCGGCTTGGTGAGGGCGCTTTGGTGTCTTTAGGCCAAGGTATGTCAAGGCTCCTGCGGAGCATGGGATGAACACGAGTTTCCGACTATATCCGCTTGCGGTCCAGGGTTGCGTGCTCCGGAGGTGCATGGCTTCAGGGCTTGGGAGATTGCAGGCTTTAATATGGGGGCCTTGACAAAAAATCGGTTTTAGGGGTATACAGTACTACAAATTCTAATCAGGAACCTGATTATAATAGTCTCGTCGCCGGTTTACCGTTTCGACGAGAACCACTTTGGAAGCACCCTCAAAGCACAGCGAGTGCTGCAGTGTGAATAGATTCGCAACCCTATGCCATTTTCTAAGGGCCCCATGTAGAACCTCAAAAACCCCTTAAACCCCCATTGCAGAACCTTAGTAAAGCCCTTATGGAACCCTTTCGGAACCCTTGACTGTCTTGACAGAAGCCTTTACAAGGATTGAGGGTTTAGGCATCGCACAAGTTCTCCTGCAACAGCCCAGCTTCCATGCCGAGGAACACCTGGTGGTGAGATGGCATTGGTGATGGAGTGCCCATCTGAGATCTAAGTCTGCAGGTTGGGGGCGATTCTTTGAATTTTTAAACCATAATTGCTAACAGTCATAAACAAGCATGAGAGCTTTGCACGTCCTGAAGAAGCAGGCCACCTTTTGGGGAGGGGGTGAAGGCAATGACTCAGGAGGACTCCTACTGGGAAAAATGAGCCCGGCTTCTTCATCCCACCCTAAACCCTAAACCCTAAACCCTGAACCCTAAACCCTAAGCCCTGAACCCCAAACCCTAAACCCTAAACCCTGAACCCTAAACCCTAAACCCTGAACCGTTGGAGACTTCTGAGCCTCAAGCCTCAAGAAGTTGTAGCCCTAAGTCGCTACGGCGTTCTACGAGTCCGGGACCTCCGGCCTCCGATGTGCCGAAGCCGGCAACCCCAAACCCTATCTATCTTTCTGTCCATCTATCTATCTATCGATCTATCTATCTGTCTATGTATCCATTTATCTATCTATCTATCTGTCTATCTGTCTATCTGTGTGTATGTGTATATATATATATATATATGTATACTTAGATAGGTACACATCCTTTCAGGTACTGCCCCAACGGCAACCTCAACGATTTTATCGTCCGCAACGGCCAACCTGGTCTTCCGGAGGTCGGGGTTAAGGGTTTCGAGTTCGCAGGGTATAGGTTTGGGGTTCAGGGTTTCGGCTGTCAGGGTTTAGGTTTCACACGATCTACCGCGAGCTTAGAGTATGTGTTGACAATTGAAATGAAAATCTGTCACCGTTTTGGACAAGAGCACTTACAGGGAAGGTGGTTCAATACACCCCTGGTCTGCATTACCAGTTTATTGTTGTGGGGCTCTCGATTTGATTGGGAAGGGGCACGGGGAGTCTTGTTTACGGTGCCACTTGGGAAGCTAGCCCGTGTGGCTTTGCTAGTAGCTGCCAAGTCTGCTGACCTAAAAGGGAGCTTAAGTTCGAGCAAGCATCGAGAAGAAGTAGTCTCCGTCGTTGTAACACTACTGGTTGTCACTGATACTCACAACCAACTTGAAAAGTACTTGTTTTCATCTGCTCTAAGGAGGATGATGAGATAAACTCGACAGTAGGAGGGAGCATAGAAAGAACAATGCCAAGGTTCCACTGTGGCTCCCAAAACCCCGAAATCCGATCCCCAAAGCCCGAAAGCCAGAACCCTATAACCCTCCACACAACAACACTAAATCCCGAAACTCCCGAAAAGCTTAGTTGTAGGTAGCACTTGCCGAGACAAGGATGCTCCTTTGCTCACTTGCGCAAGTCCCAGCAGAAAGCAGCACCCACTGGCCCACTGCAACAGTTTAGGTCTTGAGGTTTAAAGATTCGAAAGGACAGGTGCCAGGTAGTCCCTAACATGATTACACGCCCCACTGTCACTTTTTGTCTCTTCTGCTCTTTATCTCTTCTGCTGGCGTGATGAACGTGGGCACATGGCTTTGGTTTCTTCAGGCCTGCAAAAGTAAGCTTCTCGCATGTATGCTGTTATATAACAGGCCAGCCGATGCCCCTCAGTGCCTCCCCTGCCCTTGTAAGAACCATACCGAGCTTCTACGATGATGGTCTTAGTTGGTCTGGCCTTTCCGGACAGGCCTTATCCCGGAAGCTCATTGCAGAGGTGCGGTTCTTTCGCTCTGGCTTTGAGCTGTCAAGCTTTGCGCGTTGCAGCCCGAAGGACTAAGACGCAGAGACCCCAATGCTGAAGTCGTAGAGCCCCAAAGCCCTAATTGCTGCGGGGTTGCATGCTTTCCGGGCCCAGTTGCCACAGGATCCTGTGCTCGGGGCGCAAAATTTGTGATTGTGGCATTTAAAACACACCCCAAGACCCTGTGCTAATTAATATAGGGGCCTTAGTAATTAGAATAGGGTTTTGCGGCCCAGTATACTTGCTATGATTATACTAAGGAACCCTCAAAACCGCATTCTATTTATTACGGCCCCTACATTGTGCTAAGTGATTCTGGCTTCCGGAGATGCGTAGGTTCGGATCCGGGAGGTTCGGGAAGCAGCCCCCAGACATGACATGATGTGTTGAGGGTTGTTCAGGGGTTTAGGGTTTAGGGTTTAGGGTTTTAGGGTTTAGGGTTTAGGGTTTAGGGTGGTTTAGGCTTCAGGTTTTTTTCGGATTTTGAGGGGTGAGGCTTTCGGGTTCGGGCTTTAGGGTTCAGGGTGCTGACGTGCCTCGGATTTCAGACAGAGAATAGGCTGAATTATGACTGTGGTGCCTTGCACCGGCGCAGCACCCTAAACCCTAAACCCCCCTCAACCGAAAGACCCTGTCACGAGAATCCCAAACGCGGAACGGTGTGCTCCCGACTTGGGCTCTCCCAAGGCTGTGCCTGAATTTCGGGCGTCGCTGTTTGATTTTTTCAGGGGCCTCAATAATTGCCAATACCATTGTGTGGGGGGGGGGGGTTCTTATTTATGTTTGTCGTATAACATACCTCGAAACCCTATTGAAATAATTAAGACCCCTACAGACATGATCTCCCTTGTTCGCAGATTTTGCATACAACCCCCCTCCCCCCCCCGCCCGCCATACCTTCGCAGGGAAAAGCCTAAAAAGCCTCAACCGAACATCCTGAAGCCTGAACCCTAAACCCCGGTTTGGGGTTTAGGGTTTAGGAACCCTAAACCCTGGGTTTAGGGTTTAGGGTTTAGGAACCCTAAACCCTGGGTTTAGGGTTTAGGGTTTAGGACATGAAGATCGTGAAGCTTTTTCTCGGAATCCGTTGCCAACAATCTGATGAAGGTTCTCCTCGCCCTCGGCTACCTTCACGATGAGTCCGAGCCCTAAAGCCTTGAGACAGCCTTCGGGATTAATATAGGGGCCTTAACAATTAGAATAGGGTTCTGGGGTATATTATCGTATAACTATAGTCAGGAGCCCCCCCAAGATAGTATAGTATAGATCGTTATTTAGGCTTCTATAGTAAAGGTTTGGGGTATATATTATAGTAGAACTATAATAAGGAACCCCCAGAACAGTATACATAGGTAGCTATTTTAGGCTTCTATAGTAAAGGTTTGGAGACTCCAGGCTGCGGCCCATATCATCCTACTCGTACTGCAACGTACAGCCAATCTCTACTCTATATTTCAACTCTTACGGACCCCCCCCCAAAAAAAAAAAAATGTAGGGGCCTTAATAATTCGAATGGGGTTTTGGGGGTTCTGTATTATAGTTATAGTATAAAAACCCCCAAACCCTGTTCTAATGATTAAGGCCCCTATAGCACACACTTTGACAGACCAGCCTGTTGGAGTTGACTTCCTTCGTCGGAACTCAACGTTCTGGTACCGAAGGTCAGTCCTGAGAACCCCGGAAGCCAACCCGAAGCCTCACGGGTATCCGCAAAGCCTTCGGCTTTCAGGGACTATATCTAGAAACCATAATTAATAAGGAACCCTAAAAAATAAAAAGGTAGGTCTTTCCGGCTAGAGGCAAGCATTGAAGTCAGCACAAGAGGGGGCAGGTTTTGCGGTTAAGCATTGGGTTCTTGGGATTGAGGGTTGGGGCTTCCTCCCTTCGGGGTTTGAGGGTGTGGGCTTTTTCAACATGAAGCTTTGGGGTCCTTTAGGGGTGTAGACTTAATCAGGGCAGCCTTGGGAGTTGGGGCCGAACTACTTCCGAAGTACCGGGCGCAGACTTAGGGACACTTGGGTTCAGGGTTTGTAGGGTCTAAAGTACTTAGGAATTCATGTCTCAATGTTTAGGGCTTCAGAGTTTTGGTCAGGGGCACTGGAGCTCTTGTTGAAAAAGTTCGGATTTAGAGTTTTGGGCTTTAGGGTTTAGGTTCTGGCTTTTAAGGATTGTTCAAGGGTTTCGGGCTCATGCAGGCCTGAATAAGTATCAATACTATTCCGCTCCCTGGGGCTACTGACAAATAAATTACCATAGCATATCCCCAAGCCCTACTTTGAAAAATGGAGGGAGCTTTTTACATGGTGAGGCACACCACCTCAAACCCTCAATGCCACTGTATTACGGTGCTGGCGTTCCAGGTTCTTCGAGGGTTTCGGGCCAGTTTGCTAGGTCTCTTGACTTGTACCGTAGCGTGCCCCAAAGTATCTAATTATGAAGGCACTTGCATTGGATCACGGTCCCGAGGCTTATGTTTATGCCCACTGATGTTTCCCATCAAGGTTCAACTTTTCAATCCTGCTTACCCCGACTTTCATTTAGACCCCGCAGACGCGAAGCAAACGAAACAATAGGATGGCCTTCAGAAGTACAGGCAGAAGGTGCGAATACCAGCAACCGGAAGCCCCATAAACCCGGAAGTGCTAGAGAAATCCCTATGGCAATTTACCACAGACCGCCATTCTAAGTTTAAGGCCCCCGCACTACATCCTAAGCTTGCCCTGTCAAGCCTGAAACCCTTCATCCGAGGCTTGATGTGGTCTTCAGGGACCTGAAACCCGAGAACATCGTGCTAGATGTCGCCATGCCGTGATCCCGAGTCCTTTCTTGGGGTGTAATGTAGGGTCCTGAATACTTGCAAGGCTATCTGCTAGGGTTCCTTAGTATAACTACAGCATACTGTGCCCAGAAACTCTTTTCTAATGATCAAGGCCCGTTTAGTAGGGGCTCTGGGGCCTTGCGATGGGGATTCACACCTAGAGGGCATTTTCAAGCAGGTCATTAGATTAGGGAACACTCTATTCGAGGTTGTTCTTGCGGCCCCTTCTTTTCCTGAGACTCCTATCTGAGGATTGGTCTAGACAGTCTGACCTGCCGCCTCTTGAGTTCCGGCGATGTATCTTAGGGTTTAGCGTTTAGGGTTTAGGGGTTTAGGGTTTAGGGTTTAAGGTTTAGGGTTTGTTATATAAGAACACCAACAACAAGCCCCGGAGCGAACACGGGACACCTAGAATGCGAAAATAAGGTCACTCTGAAAGTCCTGGTCCTACAAGATATGCATGCTACCTTAAGAACCCAAAACCTACTTTTTTGTAGGGTCCCTATAAATCCCATATTAGGGTTTATAATAAGAACCTACAAAAAACTGGGTTTTGGGTCCTTAAGGTACACAATACCCTGAACCTTAAACCGCAGGGCTTGACCTAAAGCGCACCCAGACAACGACGGCCTCGAGAGTGGGATTTCGGGTCTAGAGTCAGCCCGTACCCCGTAGCTAAGTTTAGGTTGTTCGAGGATTGAGGGTGATGACCCAGACTCTTCTTTGACGGAAGGGCAGAAAGACCTCTGACAATCTAATGTTGCGGTGTCGATCCTGGGCACATGTTGTCAGTTTGTACTGACTCTTATAAGGCAAACAGGACAAGAAGTGACGATAAGACTTTTAATTTTGAAGCGGATTGCAGAAAGATGCACATAATATCTTCAGTGCCCATGCTCTGCTTCCTGGCTTCTACTCATCTCGTACTTCTACGCAGTAGCAAAGCTTCGTGGTGCTTCGCCCCGGATGCGAGGCTCTTGAAACATCAGAATCAATACTCACTTGAAAGAGGGATGACACGGAGATTGTGCAGACGGTCAAGGTGGAATACATCGCAGTATCAAAGGTCTCCTGACCCGTGTAGGGCTCCGAGTTTCGAAGAGCCGGTTTTTAGTGTTTCGGGTTGTTGCCTAGGGTGTTCAGGATCTACAAGGAGCAAGCCCCTGACAGCAGAGGACTGTAACCTGCTGTTCTCTGCTTGCCGCTAGAAACTGGCAGTCTCAGACGGGCGGATCCTCGATGATTTCTCATGCAGTTCCTTCACCGTCCCCATGTGCGAAAAAAGCGGGTTGATTCGCCTGCCTCAAAGTCATGCAGGCATGTAAGTGACAATAGGCGGCCCAGCATATAGGTTCTGTAGCATCAAGCAAGCCTTTCAAGGCCCTTGAGCCGAAGCCTAAGTGGGCCTGAACCCACGAAGCCCGGAAACCCCGACAGTTAAGCCAAAACCCGAAACTACCAAACTCCTGCAAAACCCGTTTCGGGGAGGCTTGTGCCCAGGGCCCCGAACCTAAACCCTAAAACCGACAGCGTAAGCCCCACACCATCGAAAACCTGAAGCCCCCCTAAACCCTGCAAGTCCTCCTAAACCCTGCAGCCCCAAACCTTGGACCAAGAAACTCAGCCCTGAACCCTAAACCTTAAACCCTAAACCTTTGACCCTAAATAAGTCTCAGCAGCGGCAAGGCATGCCAAGCTGACGGATTTCGGCCTCGCCAAGGCCGGAAGACAGAGAGAGTTTGGCTTCTTCTCCCGAAACCCTGGGTCTTGTTTTGTCTTAATAGTTGGAATAGGTTGAATAGGCTTTCGGTGTATATTTATACTACATGTATAGTAAGAAGGCCCCAAGATAGTATTGGTAATTATTTAGGCCCCTACATTAGCAGTCTTAGACCCTGAAGCCCTGAACCCTGCAAGACTATGAGGGCTCCTTAAGAAAACTCCGATATAATTCTACAGCATGGCGCAACTATACCCCCAAATCCTTATCATTACAAAACCCTAAACCACCAAGTAAGTAAAACGCACCCTCAGCTCCTTAGTACAAGGATTTCAGGAACCCATTGAGGCCGCCAACTTCCCGAAGCCTTAACCCTATGCCATCCTTATAGAACCCTGAGAGGAACCATGCCAAGAGACCTGTGCCTTGTGCAAGCCCTAAGCTAGTAAACGAGACCTATACCCCACAGCACCCTGAAAGGAGCCATTTAGTGAAGCCTACATTCAAAAACTCCAAGCCCGAAACTTTCTGAACCTAAAACCTTCAAACCCTGTACCCCGTAGTGCCCCTGAAGAACTGTAGTACCCTTATAGAACTCTTTCTAGCAGGCGCCATAAACCCTGAACCCTTGAGCACCATACCCAACAGGACTCTTGTACAAGCATTGTAGGAACCTTGATCCCTAAACCCTAGAGCCCCATGATATAGGGGCCTAAATATTTACCTATACTATTGTTTTTTTTTTTTTT